TTGATCTATTTCTCATTCTTCTAAGAAATCTTCAAAATGTACTACATACTGTTATGCAGTCTGGATTAGCTTCATTTCAAGCATTAAGCAACATCATCTGACTAGGAATTATCTATAGATTTGCACATATTTATTCTGAATGAGCTGCCAATACCAAGGCCCCAGAGCAGAGTCTTCAAAAGATGTTCATTTGACATCAGGACATTGAAAATTCTGGTCTTGATATTTGGAACAAGACCAAAACTAGATCTACAGGTTTAAAAACCACTGATAGAGAAGAGTTGTCACAATCTAGTCTTCAGTAGTTGTCAGCAAAGACTTTCTAAAAATCTCTATGGGCCTTATTTATCTGTCAGTGCACCATAAAGGGACCTAGACAAATATCTGAGAGGGACCTGAGCATCTGGGGTTTGAGGCAATACGCACATGTGGATATCTTCCTAGTTGAGTGTGGTACAAGGCTTCCCTGAAGGCTCGGTTACTAGCCGAGGATCCCTGGGTAAAAAGGAGTGAGAATAAGGGAGGTTAAGATGCTGAGGGGAGTTAGACAACTCAAACAACACAGGATGTAGAGGGGGAGCTTTTGCAGGTAATGCTCACTGTTACTGATGTTGCATCTTAAACCCCGTGGTTTCTGAAGATGAGTCAGTCAATGAAGGCAGAACTGTGGTTTAGCTGCCAGAAGATCAGAGCTGGATTGACTGGAAGAGGGGCCTGCGGAGCCTGCCAGCCAGGAGTGGGTTTTGTTGTTGTTCTTGTCTATGTCTTTGAAAGCAGGTCTCTTTATGTAGCCCAGGCTGTCTGAGAAGCCCAGGTAGGCTTAGTCCTCACTGTGTTACTGTGTTGCTTAGACTGTCCTCAAATGTCCCATCTGCCTCAAACCCTAATAGCAGGATTACAAGAATTTTCCATCATGCATGCATAATTATTAAAGCCTTTCTACTTGTGCATTGTCAGTCTATACATTCTTTCTCCTGTGGCTCTGACTTACAGCTGATGAGGCTTAGCTAATGGTACATATACATACATATCCACTTTTGTTTACCCGGTCCTGGCTCTTTGTTCATTGTAGAATGTTAGAATGCCCAGGAGTAGGGCCTAGGTACACCTTTACTTAATGTCCCTAATGCCCTTTTGATGTGCCAAGGATGAGATCTACTAATCCATTTATAGCACAGTGGTCACCTCTAAGTGGGAAAGTAAAACAATTCATCTTCATGTTCTCGGAGACCGGCATGTGTTAAGCTTTCAGTAAGTAGTGTATGAATAGATCTAAAAGCATAAAGAGAGTCACAATTAAGGGACCTATTCTGATCCTCTCCATCAAGGGATATAGTAAACCACTCTACTGGCTGTCATTTAAAGAAGAAACTGCAGTCGGATAAAGATTTTATTTTGTATTCTTTTTTAAATTTAAATTAGATTCTCTGATACAATACATCCAACCACAGTCTCACCACACACGCACGCACACATGCACGCACACACACACGCACCCACGCACGCACGCACACACACTCCTCCCAGCTCTCCCCCTCTACTTCTCTCCCAGAGTCACCCCCTAATCCATTTCCTCTTCAGAAAAGAGCAGGCCTCCAAGTGATGACAGCCAAACAGGACAAAACAACATGCAATAAGACAAGGCAACAACCCTCCCTTTAGGACAAGGCAACCCAATAGGAAGAAAAGAGTCCTAAGAGCAGACAAGAGTCAAAGATACACCTACTCTCTCAGTTAGCAGTCCCACACAACCACCAAGCTAACAGCCATTACGTATATGCAGAGTGCCTGGTGCGGACCCCTGCAGGCCCAGTGCAGGTCATCTCAGTCTCTGTGAGCTCATAGGAGCCCTGCTTAGTTGATTCAGTGGGCCGTGTTCTTGTGTTCGGCATCACTTGAAAATACTTAAGTTTCACTAAAAAGTGAAGCACATATACTTAAATTTTAATCCTGTGCCTATATTTTCAATACCCGATTTCAAAACACTTTATTGAAAAAATTATGCAATGTGTTTTGATCATATTTTCCCATCCCAGCTTCTCCCAGTTCTGTCCCCACTCCCCTATCCATCTACCTTTGTATTCTTTTTTGTCTTTTTTTTTTTCAAAAACAAAAATAAATAACAAATTCCACAAAACGACCCCACAGAAATGAAAATCAAGATGAACAGTGAACATTTATAATTCTTTGCCAGGTTCTTTTTTTTTTTTTTTTTTTTTTTTTTGGAAAAAAAAAAACCATTTATTTATCTACTTATTTCACGTGTCTAAAGGGAAGATATGCCTGCCATAGTGCTTTTGTGAAGGTCAGAAAACAACTCCTTCTGCCCTGTGGTTCTCCTGCATCAAATAGGTCTGCAGGGCTGGCAGCAGTCATCTCTACCCACTGGGCAATCCACTCGTGACTCTTAAAAGCACTTAGGTTTTCTCTAGAGTGGTGGCTTTAAAAAAGTCGTTTTGAATGTAGGATCACCTGGTACTCTGTTTCAGGTGGTCTGGCTTGATCTAACCACATTAGTCTGGAAGGAATCCACATCTTTTCATTTTCTGTTGAAACAAAAATAGAAATCCTTTTCCCCAGTAACTTGTCCTTGAACTTAAATTTTGGAGTCAAAGCATTTTTTTTTAATTTAATTTATTATTTTACATGTCAATCCCAGTTCCCTCTCCTTCCCTCCCTCCCTCCTTCCCTCCCTCCCTCCTTCCCTCCCTTTTACCCTCTCTGCCCTCTCACATGCACTCTAACAACCCTCCCCTCCCATCCCCCCACCCCAATTCCATATGTAGGGGAATGCCATCCAGGTGGGGTCATGTAGATCTGTCAGGTCATTTGAAGTAGGGACTAGGGCTTCTCTCCTGTCTCTAGATTAAGGCAGTTATCCCTCCATGGGGGATGTGTTCACAAAAGTCCTTTTGTGCACCAGGGATACATCCTGGCTCCACTGTCTGAGGTCCCCTAGACTGCTCAGTCCTTCTGGCTGAGACCCATATTCAGGGGGGCCTGAGTCAGTCCCATGCTGGCTTCCCAGCTATCAGTCTGGTGGCCTGTTAGCTCCTCCTTGTTCAGGTCAGCTGTCTCTATGTGTTTCTGCAGCCTGGTCTTGTCCTCTCCATGTGCATCTGGGTTCTACTTCGACTCAGTGTTTATGTATGGGTGTTTGCTCCTGTTTCCAACAGGCATTAGTTGAGGGCTCCATGGATAAGTTAGTTGTTGATCTCACTATCCCGGAAGGGCATTTATAGTAGCCTTTCCACGGAAGCTCAAATTGTTAGTTGGGAGCAGTCTTGTAGTTCTCTAGACGTTTCTTTGTGTTCAATTTTATCTTCAAACAAATATTGGCTCCCTCTTTTATGTTCTCTCTCTCCCTCCCTCCCTCTCCCTCCCTCCCTCCCTCCCTCCCTCCCTCCCTCCCTCCCTCCCTCTCTCTCTCTCTCTCTCTCTCTCTCTCTAGTCTTCTGTTCCTAACCGGGCTCAATCTTCATGGTCACACGTGTTTTCCTTTCCTCCCCCTCATTTTCTCCTACTTCTTTCTCCATTCGCTGTCCTCCCCCACTTCACCTGAGCTCTGGGGGACTTGTCCCTTCCCGGTTCTGTGAGAGACTTTATATGAATCTCCTAGAATACACCTTGTATCCTAGTTCCTCTGGTGATGTGAATTATAGACTGGTGATCCTTTGATCTAGGTCTAAAATCCATATATGAGCGAATATATACTGTGTTCCTCTTTTTGTGACTGGGTTACCTCATTCAGGAGGGTTTCTTCAAGTGCCATCCACTTGCCTGCGAATTTCAAGATACCATTTTTTTTTTCTGCAGAGTAGTATTCCATTGCGTAGATGTGCCACATCTTCATTAACCATTCTTCAATTGAGGGGCATCTAGGTTGCTTCCAGGTTCTTGCTTTTAGAATCCCCCATGACAGCGCCCCTTATCAGCAGGAAGTAGTTTGGAAAGAACGACACCCAAATTCCCAAATATTGTCTATAAATGTTTGTTTTCATATAAATGGACTTGGCTATATAAAATAAATAAAAAAATCTTAACAATTAAATCAGAGGTTTTAAACTTAAAAGAAAAAGGAAAACAATGTTCATGACAAGATCACCACTGCCAAATGAAGAAAAGTGTAAATCCTTCTATTGTCTGATGATGAATATTTAAAGAGGAATATTTAGGGTTACTGCTAATATTATTGGACAGTGTGATGTATGTGTATATAGTTAATTTTTTAATAAATTTTATTTAAGGTTAAAAAAAAAGTCAACAGTGAGAGACAAATCATTCTAGAAAGAAAATAAACTGGTAACCACTACAACATTCATTATAATAAAAGTAAAATGGATCTTTCTATGTGAGATATTTTATAAAGTTCTCCTTGCTTAAGGCATGCCACCTGGCAGATAGGTACCTGTTTCATCTCACTGAACTGCTGCTGAAGTCATCCCAAAAGCTGCAGCAGGGTTTTCCACAGAGGTGTGCCCATCGATGTCCACTTCTGGGGTCCCAGAGAAGGCAGCTCCAGACTCCAGGGTGTATTGTACTCTGTCTGGTTATCAGTTTGGGACCTTACACAATGCTCATAATAGGCAATGAGAGGAAATCATGTTCTGTCTACACTGAAGGAATAGGCATGTCCATTCAAGTGGTCTGAGACAGGAATTTATCTATGGAAGATTTAAGGAATTCTGGCCCAGAGCCAGGACCAGTTTTTTTTTTTTTTTTTTTTAAGTGTTTTGGATGTCAGCCAAAACGCCTTTATCAGTGCTGGGGCGGAGAAGTGTTGAAAGTTTCTTCATAGGTTTGTCAAATGCTATAGCCAGCTGTGTCAAAGATAGTGCACTCAGACACGGATTTGGGGTCAGTACATGGGGTACAGGATCTGAGGTCTCTAGCACCACAGTCAAAGATGGTTTTTCCTTCTCTGCTTGTAACTGTGGCTGTATTGATTTGGGAATATCTGATACAGCTTGTCCTTCTAAAAATTATCACTGTTCCCACAGATGAAAAGAAGCGAAGAGTCAACATCCAGACAAACCAGCGAAGAAGAAATAGGTACGCTTTGTTGTTGGAAATGTAGAAAATGTATTGCAAGTTCCAGCTGCTTCATGAATTGCCTCGAGGATCAAGTGATTGAGGTGAGTAGCTCTGGCTTCAAGAGTTTTCGAGTATAGAAATAGTAGAGACACACCAGTGCCGTGTATGACAGATACGTTTTAAAATCTCATGCATTTCAGTGGATGAGAACCTAAAACTTTTCATGCCAACATTTTATAGGATATCGTTTGTATATAATAAAACTGCTTACCGCTTGATAACTTAATTAGCTCTAATATGAATCCATTCAAGTTACACACGTCCATGACCCCAGAAGTCTGTTTTGCCCCTTTTAGACAAGATGCTGTCCTACTCCACGGCACCTGCTGTGGTGCTTGAGTCCACAAGCTGGTATCGACTATTCTTGCCGTCCTTTCAAATGAAATAAAATCACATACGTTCTTTTTGCCTTGTTTTTTGCCCAGATTTTACACTTTCACTAAAGTGCCATGTGCAGCAGTTTGTTGAATTCAATGTCACTTGCAAGTATGACAGTTACCATTTATGAGTGTGACAGTTGCTATGTATGAGTGTGACAGTTACCATTGTTTTCTAGCGAGAGGGCCTTTATACTACTCCACTTTTAGACTATATGTTTTTATTGTTTTATGCTATGGAAATTTGTGTAGAGCCCTTTCTCTTATTTTTTTTTTTTAGATGTATACGTGGACATGAGTATCTTAGTCATAGGGTAGATATACTTTTAAGTTTTTAAGAAATTGCTACTAGTTTCCAAAGTGAGCATCCCCCTTCAACAGCACTGCAAGAGAACACCAGCTGCTCTGGTACTCTTCATCTTTATGGTCTGTCCATTCAGGCAGATGAGCTGCAGTATTTCATTAGAATTTGCCTTGGGTTTTCCTGGCAGTGGATGATGGGAAGTACTTCTTTCTTTCTTTCTTTTCATGAGCTTATTGATTCAAAGACATTTTATAGTTACATTGTTTATGTTTATATTATTTGCACTTAAGTTATTTATTCATTAGAGTAACCCTTTGAAGAAGATAATCTGTTGCCTTAAGTATAAGACAGAGACATTGAGAAAAAAGTAATTTAGCTCAAGTTCTCAGTGTGTCTAGACAGTGAGTCTGGACAGTTCTGGGATCCTTTGGAACATAAGATGTGGAAGGGAGGGACGCAGAATGAAAAACAGGTTCTAATGCATGAGGAATGTCAAGGTTTAAGGCGGGCCCATGTACCCTGATGCAAGAGTTCTGTAATAGGGATAGGAGCAGGCTAGTACCAGCACTGCTGGTGTCCCAACTGCTGAAGAAGGGTCCCTAAGGAAACCTGAAAGCATACAGACATGCATGTGCACATGTGTTTTCTACTATTTTCAAAAATGTAGTTTGTGAACTATAAAGTCTGCCCATCTAAAAATATAACCCCATAGTTTTTTTTTTTTTTTTTTTTTTTTTTTTTGTTTGTTTTGTTATTCAACTGCCAGCACAAACAGTTTTGAACTTTATGACATCTGGAAATGTCTCATGTCCTTTTGTCTTCTGCCCCTACCCCCAGCCGCTTCCAGCCTGACTTTTGTCCCCATGGATTATCTGTGTAATGTGTATGTATATTCTTTATAAAAAATATGTAAGCTATTGAAACTTACAGAATAAAATATGTTTGTATAAAAATTGGGCTATGCTAATTTTTCATATACTAAAATAAATGGTTATGCTGCTTGGTACTAGAGAAACAAAACATTCAGAATAAATAAATATTAGAACATTTTAAGAGTGTACTAGTAGTTGAAAGACACCACCCAGGTCTTTCAGGCCAGGAAAAATATGAAGAAATCATGGAAAAGGTAAAGGAATCATATGACCCAACAATGGTTTGGATTAATATCCATTGGTTGTATTCATGGCAGCCACTGCATTAGCACAGGCTAGTGATGGAAAGGAGTCAAAACCCATTTGTTTACTAGAGTTCTGCAGTGAGTACTGGAGTAGTCCTTAGCTCCCTTTCCTGAACTTTACAATCTGACACCTGCCCCTACCACTCTCCCAATGGCAGCAAACACTAATCAACACTGGTGTTTTGTTTGTTTGTTTTGTTTTGTTTTTGAAAAAACAAAGTGCAGCTACAGCTCCTGCTGACGACCTTATATAAAGGCATAACAGTGTTTATGTTGCCTCTGCACACATATAGGAGGCAATCCTCTAGAGTCGTGTAATGTACAAATGCACACAGAAGGCAGCATCATGTCTTCTAGACTACCCCACCACATTCACCACTAACGGGCAGTCCCTTTCTTCAGGGTGCCGGTTGTTTGTCCCTAGATTTCCACTGCTGGTACATCCTAACTTCCATCGCTGCCCTTATATTTGTGATCTTGTCTTTTCACATTGAACCTCTACACATCCTGGGCCCTGTTCTCCCTTCCTCCACACCGACAGCACTCACATCTATGCTCACAGAGTTGCAAAATTGAACAACATTTTAGCTTCTTGTCAAGGTCACATAGTAAACAGCAATGCAAGGATTTCTGCCCAGTCGGTTTGGCTGAGTTATAAGCATCTTGAGTTCATATGTTGATGCTGCAGTGGTGCCACATCTGGAGGTGAGGCTTTGAGGGTAAGGGAAAATAAGTCATGGGGAAGAGTCACTAATTCAGCAGGGCTGTGTCTTTACAAAGCAAGAGAGGGCATGGGAGGGTAAAAGGAAAAGGTAGCTAGCTGTCTGCAGGATAGGAAGAACCCTCACTGTAACGAGTATGGTTTTTCTCCGCCTGCTGCGGCTGGTTTTGTCCCACCGCTGCGCCAGCCCCAAATAATGCACAGAGGCTCTGTATTTGATACAATGCTGTTGGCCCGGTTACTTGTTTATTATCGGCTAGCTCTGTCTTAAGTATTAACCCATTTCTGCTGTATTTCTCTTACCGGGGAGGTAGCCGGCATACTACTTTCTCCCGACTCTCCATCTTGGCTCTCCTCTCTACTTCCTCTTTCCTCCTTGTCTCCTAGTCCCTCCTATCTTGCTTTCCTATTGGCCACCAGTGCTTTATTCATTAACCAGTGTGAGAAGCATATATACATAATGGCGTCTCCCATCACCCTCACCAAAGGCCAGGCAACCAGGTGTCCTGACTTTGGACAGTTAGCTTCTAAAATGATAGAAAAGTTGTTCTGCTGTTTTGTTTCTTCAGTTTATGGATTTTATTATGGTAGCTGGAGTGGATCGCCATAGGTCCTGTTACAGAAGAGTGGTCATCTGTCCTAGTGAAGTTTCCAGGATTATCACTCACTATTAGTATTGTATTAATACCATATTTATGTAATAATAATTCTTCTATAATTATAGATCCATTCTAATAAATATCAATAGTTTAAGTTTCTATTTTAATATTGAATATTTTTTTACCAATCCTAGAAACACTAGATATTAGTCAATCAAAGAAATGTTCAATTATTTATAAAATTAGCAAAAAGAAAAGTCTAGGACGTGGTAAGAATGGGAGACTGGCAGAATGCTGGGCCTGTCTGCAAGGAGAAGGCTTCCTCAGGAACTGGTAAGTGAAGGCAGTGTAGGACAGAGCGTGGAAACCCTCGCCTCGCCTCGGCCCCAGCATGTTCACAGTCCCTGTGCATCCACAGCACCAAAGTGTTGAGCAGGGGTTTACCAAGACATGAGGCGGCTACCAGCTTTTGAGTCAAACCGAAAAGTTTGATCTGTGTCACAAGAGACGCAAAGCCACTGATAGTGTCTGACATGGCCTTTGAATTTTACAGTTCCTAGTGTGAGGAGTGTGTAAAGGAAGGAAGCAGGCACCTCTCTCCTCCCCTCCACTCCCCTGCCCTCCAGCTCCATCGCCTCTCCTCTTCTCATTTTGTTCTTTTGATTAGCGCCCTTGAAATGACCTTTTCAGGGTACACGTAAAAAACAAAGAATACGGACAATTTTAGGTCTCTTAAACTAGCAACCCTTTAATCATTTATTAACAAATATAACACTGATAAATGTTAGTCTTGCTACAGATTCTGTTCCTAGGTCTGCACAGCTGCAGTAGCTAAATAATATGGATTACTCATTTTAATGAATCTGATGAGATGTTACTGCTTACACTTTAAGGTGTACACATCATTGAGAATATTATTTAATGGAATAAATCATCACCGTTTAAACACTGAAACCATACAATGTAATTTTCTGCATAAAGTCCCGTTCAATGATGAGAACTAATGCACATCCTGTATATATAGGCAAACTGAATCCATTCCATGTTCAGAAAGCAGAATGAAAGAGAGGTGCACGAGCGCCCCCTGCTGCTAGGATAAGTTATTTTATGTATAAGCATTGTTGATCTTCCAGCCAGCTTTATGAGAAATTGGCTTAGGATTTTAGTATTTATGTTTTTTGTTTTACTTTTTGTCTTCTCCTTACTTATATCTCACTTGATAAAAATCTCATAACAGTTTTTCAAGGTACATGTGAGCACACACGCACACATGCAACAGGCACATGCAACACACACAGGTGCACGCACACGCACATGTCCACGCATGCACACACACCCCTAGGTCTGTTCCTCTAGCATGAAGGAATACCGTTCTGCTAAATATGTTTGGTTTTATTAATAGTTCTCAAATTAAAGTGGCTTCATTTTGATGTCACAAAGCAGAAACAGCTAATGGAACTTCCTCCCCAGACGCATTAGCCTGTCATTTTGGCTAAGTTCAAAGTGAGTTTTAGGTTTGTGATTTGTGAGTGTTGAACAAATGCCAGTGCTCCGAGTGTGCTCAGGCAGGAGATACAGGTTAGTGTGCGGTCCTGGGATCTCTAGCATTTATCTGGTGCAGGAGGTAGCAGTTGTAAACTCACTATCTGATAACACGAATCCTGAAGCCGATCAGGCAGGCTAGAAATCCTTGCATTACTAGTTAGTATGTGGCCTTGACAAGTTTCAAGTTTTTGAAAAGCTGCTTGATTTTACTTGTTGTAGCATTTATATCTGTAATGTGGAAAAATACTGAAAGTGACTCCTGGGACACAGTGAGCATAATGTAAATACTTTCTGCTTAATAAAAACTGTGAGAATGTG